CCGTGCGCTGGGCACTGTTCTAGGCACTTCAGGCACAGCAGTGAACAAGACAGACACAAATCCCTGCTCTGGTGGGTCGTGCTGACAATAGAGATGAGGAAATCAAAGTATACAACATGCTAGATGAGGAAATCAAAGTATGCAATATGCTCGATGGTATTAAGTGCTGTGTATGTGCATGTGGGGAAGGGGGTGACATTTGTGGGTAAAGAATGGAAGGAGGCAAGGCGAGAGCTGTGCAGTGCTTCAGTGGGGAGAGCCTCTTTGGCAAAGGGAGGAGCACATGCAAAGGCCCTGGGGCAGGAATTTACTCGGGGAGTTCACGCGACCGGAACAGAACGAGGGAGGGGGAGAGAGAGAAGAGGTCAGGGCAGGGAGGGGATGGGCCAGGTCATGCAAGGCTCTATGGGCAAGGATGGGGGTGGCTTGCGCTTTCACCCTGGGAGGGTGTTGAAGCAATTCCCCTGCCTGCTATGGGAATGAGAATAGCATCAACCCCAAGGAGTTGTTATAAGAATTATATGAATTACTACGTGTAGAGCGATCGTACCCTGTCTGATGCATACGGCACATGCATGAAATATTGGGCTATTATTATATGTGGCGGACATGTGTGTCTCGGGGTGTGTCCCTGCTGCAGCTGAGCGGTGGCTCTTAGTGAGTTTGTTGTTGTGAAAGAATCTCTCTAAAGCTATTAAAAAAACCCTGCTGGGTGTTTGAAAGCCTTGCTGGGGTTACTGCTCCCTGGCTGGGACAGGCTCTTTTGTATAACAGCTGTTCTCCAGATGTCAGCTGGGGTTACTCAGGCCTCGGAGCTTTGGCGCCTGCCTCACTCCCACGACCTGCGGGAAGCCCAGCGCCCTCCCCGAGATGTCTGTAAATTCCCAGGGCCTGTGTTCTCATGCTTGCTTCTTGGCCTGAGTTCCTGCCCGCTGAACCCTCGCTCTTACCCACCTTCCCGGGGCCAGCGCTTTGGGGAAACCAGTTCTGTTTCCTCAATTTTCCCCGGGCTACCCACGCGTGAACTTTGCATACTTACCTGCGGGTGCCCCCCACCCCCATGCCCCCCAAGATGCGGTGCTCTCTCTAAGGTCCTGCCATCCCAAAGGCTTTCGCGTTGTTTGAGTTTCCGTAAGATGTTGCTTGACAAAAATTCCACCGCCCAGAGGAAAAGTGCATACTTGCACCACATAGCAAACTTTATGACCAGCTTAGAGTGAACTGGGCTGTCATGGGAAGGGGGGATCTCGCTCGGGGACACCTGAGGCCAGTGGCTGTCAACAGCTGTAGGTGCTTCTGACGTCAGGCTGGCGTGCAGATTTGGAGGCAAGTAGGAGGACCTGTTGGCTGTGGGAACTCAAGGCGGGGGCAGATGGGAGCTGGTACAGAATGGAGAGGAGGCTGGGGGGTGAGCAGTTGTGAGAGACAGCAGCTCATTCTGGGGAAACATCAAGCCACCAGAAACAGTTACAATGAGTCAGACTCCCGGAAAATTAGGCAAGGCTGCTTCAGACAGAATTCGCTGTAGACTGTTTTGGTAGTTCCTGTAATCATCACTAACTGCTTTCTCAGGGTGTGGATAGGTAGGGCTCAGAGGTTAAAGCTATAGCAACAGAACCTTGCCTGGGGCAGGGTGAAAGCACGCCCCCCACCCCGGGCAGGTCGTGACTCAGTGGGACAAACCCATAACTGGTCTAGTTCCAAGATAAGGGCACAGGGTGTGTTAGAAAGAGGCATTCCATTCAAGCTTGGAATTAAGACCAGGGTCATGCTTAACCCTGACCACAGTTCAGTACCGCTGCGTTATGGACCACATTGTCCCTGAGACTGTTCTCTGTAAGGCTTGCACGGTTTCTGCACAATTGTAATTATAGCATTTGGTATCAACTTGAATAGGAACTTGATTCCTGGAATAGGTCTCCTGGAGGATATTATATAATGTTTCTTAACCTTTTCTGGATCATAGACTCATTTGGGAATTAACTGAATTTAAAGACCACCTCCAATCCATTGCCCTCAACTCCCCGCCTCCAAATATATTTACCCCCAAGATTTTTTTGGACAGTTATATGGTATCATAGCTGTTCATTCCAGGTTAGGAACCTTTGGTTTTAGTTCAGCTCTCTCATTTTACACGAGATGAAACTGAGGCATAAGAGTGTAGCACCTTGCTCAGGGTTACACAGATAGTCAGTGATGGAGCAGGGTGTCAGTCCAATGTAGTAATTAATTGTAGAGTCAGCCTAGATGCAAACCCTGGCTTCATCCCTCACAAGCAAGAGATGTAAATCTCCTCATGCCTAGGTTTCCTCATCTGCAAAATCAAGATAATGATTGCAAGATAAAAGTATTTTTTTTTAAGTGGAAACACAAATTGATTCCTTAGCCTGTACTTCTAGCTTAAGTGGAAGTTTGAGCCAGATGAAGAATTCCTGCCACCTAGTGGATGGCAGGATGAATAAATTATAGGATGAATAAATTAGAATTTCTGGCACTGAAACTTACACGTTGACCACACCAATGTCTTTGTGTGGTTATTGTTAAGAGAGTTAGTGGCTGCACGTTAGAGAGCTTGTGTGTCTCCTTTCAAAGAGACTGTGTTTCAACATTGTAGCAGTTAGCCTTTGCTGTGTAACAAACTACGCTAACATGTAATGGCTTAAAAGATGGTCATTTATTAACACTTGATTCTGTGGGTTGGAGATTTGGGCTGAGTTAAGCTGAGTGATACATCTGTTGGTCTTTCTTGGGGTCACTCATGGGACTGCAATTAGCTGGTGGGTGGGCTGGGGCCAAATGCCAGATGATCATGGAGGGCTCCCTGCGTGTGTCTGGTAGTCACAGGCTGTTGGCTAGGGTGCCTTGGTTCTCCTCCATGTGGTCTCTCCAGCAGGTTAGCTTGAACTCATTTCCACTGTAGCTGCAGATTTACCAGAAAAAGCAGAGAGCCTGCTAGCATTTTTGCTCCCCATTGTGTCATGTTTGCTAAAGTTTCATGGGCCAAACAAATCACATGGTCAAATACAGATTCAGGAGGAAGAGAAACAGAATCCATATCTTCTTGATGGGGGAGCTACCAAATATTGTGGCAATTTTCCCCCTTCAATACCCCACACGCGTTTGCTGGTGAGTGACTGGGCATTGAGTTGTCAGTTTAAAACTTAAAGGGTTTGATGCTAAGAAGTGTTTTCACTTCTCAAAAGAAGCGAATTTATGGTTAGAGACCATAACCTGCAGGCTAGCCCATCAGTCTAGTTATGGAAATTGACCTCTTCCTTATGGGACATTTCTCTTCCTTACCTGTCTGTACTCCCCCCGTCACTTCCCATCTATCCCATCACTTTCACCTGCCTTATGGGCTAAGTAGACTACTGTGGGCTAGCTTGGGAACTATATAGCTTTTCCCTGCATTGTCTTCAGTAGAATGTGCTGTTCAGGAATGGAGGGATGGTCATGGCCACCCTCTTGTCCCCTGCCATGGTGATCTAGGGACTGTTTCTCTCTTCCGTGGCTTAAGAAAGAGCCCACTGGCAAGGTGGGCTCACATCTGTCTTATCCACCACTTGCCATAGAACAGTGCCCGGCACATGGCTGACACTTGATAAATGAATGTCTGCAGGCAGGACCCAAGCCTCATCCGAGAGTTTTCACTTCTGAGGGTGTCCACTCTCGCATCATCCCAGGGGCTATTTCCTGTTGCCCGCCATCCTCCAGCCCTTCTGTAACTGTGTGTGTGACCCCTTAGCAACTGTTGGTCAGCTGTCCACGATGTCCACAGGCTCCCACAGGACAAGCTGTCCACCCCCTTCCATTGGACATCTTCACTTAATGCTAGACTCCACACTTGCACCAATGGCTCAAAACCAAACTATTTAAAAAATATATATATTTATTCATCTGGCTGTGCCGGGCCTTAGTTACAGCATGTGGAATTTTTTTTTTTTTTTAGTTGTGGCATGCAGGATCTAGTTCCCTGATCAGGGATGGAATTTGGGCCCCCTGCATTGGGAGAGCGGAGTTTTAACCACTGGACCACCAGGGAAGTCCCCATAGCAAACTCTTTTGTGAGCTATGTCAACTAGTTTCACTGTGGGCTGTAAGTATGCAAGTGTTTGACTAAGTTGGTTTGTATGTGTTTTCTCCGCACTAGGGTGCCACCTTTGAGGGGTTTCATTCACAGCAGAAACACGGTCGATTTGTCTATTTATTTTGACTACTTTCCAGCAGAGGGCAGTCAAGGATCTCATTCTGTCAAAGTCAGTCCATTGTGATGACTTTGAAGTCTACTGTGATGACAAGGTGACTTGTTCTAATTTGCATACAGGTACAATTTGCTAGCCACAGACCTGTACTTACCTGTGTGGTGTCCATGTGCATATAATGCCTGCCTCACCCAAAGTTGTGCACGTCCTTATCCCCAGAACCTTGAGTATGTTCCCTACATATTCATGGCAAAAGAGATTCTGCAGATGTGATGAAGGTTACTGATTTTGAGAAGCGGAGGTGGTCCTGGATTATCCGGTGGGCTCACAATCACATGGACCCTTAAAATCAGAGAACCCTTTCTAGCTGGGTCAGAAATGAGATGGGAGAAGAGGAGGGGAGATATGAAGGGTGCGAGGGACTTGATCTGCTGCTTCAGGCTTTGAAGATGGGAGGGGGGCACGAGCCAAGGAATGCAGGCGCCTCTAGAAGCTGGGAGTGGCTCTCAGCTGACAGTCAGCAAGGAAATGGAGAACTCAGTCCTACAACCGCAAGGAAGTAAAATCTGCCAATAACCCAAATAAGCAAGGAAACAGATCCTCCCCAGGAACCTCCAGAAAGGAATACAGCCTGTGCACACCTTTTTATCCTGGTGAGCCCTGGGTGGGGTTTCTGACCTCTGGAACTGTAAGATAATAAATCTGTGTTGTTTACGCTGCAAAGTTTGTAGTAATTTGTTATGACAGTTAGAGGAAATGAATACAGTGTGGAAATGACTCTCTCCCTTTCCCCAACAGAATGGTTTCAAGCCCACCTGTTGAAGGCAGTGTGTCCCTCTGTGAGTGGCTGAGGGTCCACCATGGATGGCCGGGCATCTGGCTGTGGCTGGTGAGTGACCACCATGGACAACTGAGTGTTTGCCTGTGAACACTGTCATTCCCCTGTCCCCTGCTTCCTCCCACCTGTTACCTGGGGTTGTGGAGGCTAGGTGGGATCTGCCTTGCCTCCCCCATCCCTGCTGCTTCTCCATGAAGCTCTGGTGTGTGGATTCCAAGTATGTTTGGGAAACTGAGGCCCAGAAGGGGGGGGGACACGACGGGAGGGGGTACGGGTGGCTGCAGTGGTGACACCCGTCCCTTGCCCTTCCACTCCTAGACTCAGGCCCCAGAAAGAGCAGGGCATATATAAGTGGTCCCTGATCTGTGGGAAAACCTCATCAGCCAGGTGGGTTCGTCCTGCTCTTCTGAGGGGCTGAGCTTGATGCTCTCCCATCAGCCCTGTGCTTGGAGGGTCGGGCAGACGCTGTGCTGTAGGACTCAGCATCCCGGGGAGGAAGGGTGACCCTGCTCTGATTCCACTGCCCCCAGAATGGTAGAAGCTTGCCCAGTGTTGGTGCCTTGGCAACTTGAGGTGAGTTGGGGGGGGCGTAGAGGGCAGGGGGTAGGAGAACTTGTCCCTCACAACTCTCCCTGTCCCTCTTGCTTGCCCTGGGTCTGCTCCTCTCACACCCCCAGCCCATCGGTCCTCATGGATCAGGTGGACACCTCAGAGGTCGGGGAGCTTGGGGATGGAGCCACATGGGTGGGAGAAGAATCCTGACCCCAGGGGGGACTGGGATGGAGGGGAGGAGTCTTCTGTGGAGCTGAAGAAGGTCCCTTCCCAGTACCGTTCCTGTGGAATCCTCAAAAGAATGTGGGTCTCCTTCTCTATGTATGTATAACGGAATCACTTCACTGTACACCTGAAACTAACACAACATTGTATATCAGTTATATTTCAATAAATTTTTTTTAAAAAAGAATGTGGGTCTCATGGGAGCATCAGGGGACCCCAAGCTGAGACCCTGCTGACCTCATCACCTTTACCCTCAGAGATGGATGGATGCCCTCAGCTCCGATAGAGACCCCATTCCTGAGCCAGGTGAACTGGTGGGGAGGGGTGGAGCTTGTGCCAGGCTGGGAGCAGGGTCCCTGGGCATCAGGCCTGAAGGGAGGAGATTGGGGCCAGGCCAGGCCCAGAGTGGTTGACATGTTTTGCCTCTGTGTGTGTGCCATGCCTGTAGATGGACACACAGGTGTGTGGACACACAGGTGCACGCCTGCCTGCGTACACACACATCTGGGTAAATGGCACCTGGCCAAGGACCCCTGGCCATCCATGGTGGACCCTCAGCCTTGCACTTATTGAGCATTTACTGTGTGCCAGTCACTTTCCAAGCCCACCATGTGGGTAATTGATTGCGATGATTATCTCCACTTTCCAGATGGAAAAGGTGAGGCCCCAGGAGGACAAGAAACTTGCTTTAGGTCCCAGCTGCTGGGCAGGGGTGGAGTTGGGATTTGATCCCAGGCACCTGGGTCTGCTCTAGACATTGGGGACACAGAGGGGACCCATCTTTGCCCTCCAGGGGATGTCATTGTAATGTCATTGTAATGGCAGAGACAGACACTACACAAGTCAATCAGTCAGTAACAAGATGTGAGGTAGTGATAAGGGCCCTGAAAGCAAGAAACAGAGAGAGTGAATTGAGGAGGGGGTGTGGTCATTCAGCCTTGGGGTCAGAGGAGGCCTTTCTGAGGAGGTGACTTTGAGGAGAGACCTGAGGAGGTGATGGAGGGAAGTGTGTGACATCTGGGGGAAGAGTGTTCTAGGCAGAGGGAACAGCCTGTGCAAAGGCCCTGGGGCAGGACTGTGCCTGGTGTGTTGGAGGAACAGTGAGGAGGCCCGTGTGGCTGGATCATAGAGAGTGAGGTGGAGAGAAGGAGGAGGGGAGGGCAGGGAGGGGATTGGGCAGGTGGTACAGGGCCTCATGGACCTTGGGGAAGACTTGGGCTTTTAATCTTGAGGGAGGTGGGAGGTAGGGGAGGGGGCGGGGCCTGACTCAGGTGCTCACAGGCACCCTCTGGTGGCTGCTGCAGGGAGGACAGACTGTGGGGGCGAGAGCCAGAGCCGAGGGTTGGACCTGACTCAGGTGCTCACAGGTGCCCTCTGGTGGTTCTTTTGGGGAGGACAGACTGGGGAACGAGGGAGGACTAGGGTGGAGGTGACTGTGCCCGTCTAGGTGAGCGATGATGGGACTGGACCAGGTGGAGGCAGCATGGGTGGGAACAAGTGGGTTAATTCTGGCTAGATTTTGAAGCAGAGCTGCCAGGACTGGGTGTGGGGTGTAGAAAGAGGAGCTGAGGGCCACTCCAGAGTTTCTGGTGAGTAAATGTAAGAACAGATTTGTCTTGGACTGAGCTGGCTAAGACAACCGGGGTCATATTACCTTTGAGATGTTCGTGAAACCCGCACAGAGGCCAGCGAGGATGCAACCAGAGGTATCGACGTGGGAATTGTGGCACAAGGGTGATTTTTTTTTTTTTAAGTTTCAGCTTGGCTTGAATAATTCCTTGGCCAAATTTCTCTCATTCCTTTAAATGTGCAAATGTTTCAAACCTGTGAAAAGTGTCTAGATAGCCAATGCATTTAGTTTTTTTTAAGCACTGAAGATAACTTCTGCCAGTAATTGTTAACAGTGAAATAGTCATAACAGTTAAGTGTTTCTTGAGCAGTCCAATTTTAGTTGGTGACAAAACAAAAGGGAAGGACTTCCCTGGTGGCGCAGTGGTTAAGAATCCACCTGCCAAGGCAGGGGACACCGGTTCGAGCCCTGGTCCGGGAAGATTCCACATGCCCTGGAGCAACTAAGCCCGTGTGCCACAACTACTGAAGCCCACGCGCCTAGAGCCCGTGCTCCGCAACAAGGGAAGCCACAGCAACGAGAAGCCCGCGCACCACAATGAAGAGCAGCCCCCGCTCGCCGCAACTAGAAAACGCCCGTGCGCAGCAACGAAGACCCAACGCAGCCAAAAATAAATAAATTAAAAAAATTTATTAAAAAAAAGGGAAGAGAGTGTATATACCAAATATTTAGTGATAGCGGAAAAGATCCTCACCCCAGACACGAAATAGTTTAAATATCAGAATGTGGTTCCTCTCTTATTGTCACTGGTAATGAAAGAAGTTCCTGAAATTGCATATTTATTTTGTAAAGTCTAGGGCTAAAACACAATGAATTTTTAAGTTGCATCCATAGCAGTTGATCCTAAGATAGCATCTTGTCAATCAGAGTAAGGGCTAACACAGAGTATATGCTCTTCAGAAATCTTATCTTTTTCTCCAAAAGAGACGTGGCATTGTGTTGTGTTTCCAAGTATTTTAGTTGGGTTTCTTCACACTAAGCAAGTAGGTGATTCTGGGAGTAAGATATTATTTTTATTTAAATGTTTTGTTTGTTTGTATTTGGATGGATGGTTCAGTGTTTATTTAACCAATCAGCTGTTGTTACACATTTACGTTTGCTTTTCCCTGACGTTAATCCTTACTCCTTTCCCTGCCCCCCATAGCTTTATTGAGATATAATTGATATATAACATTGGGTACGTTTAAGGTGTACAACGTGTTGATTTGATACACTTACATATTGCAAAATGATGACCACCATGGTGTTAGCTAACCCCGCCGTCCTGTCACATAGTTACCATTTCTTTTTTGTGGTGAGAACGTTGAAGGTTTACTCTCTGAGCAAATTCCAAGTATATAATACCCTATTGTTAACTATAGTCTCCATGCTGTCCAATAGATCTCCAGAACGTGTTCATCTTCTAACTGGAAGTTTGTACCCTCTGACCAACGGCACACAAATGATATTTAAAACCATGGGGTGGGTGAAATCAACTGTAATTTTCCCGTTTTGTTTTTCTCCTTAGCACTCATCACCGGCTCATGTAAGACATATAATTTCCGTATTTATCTTGTTTATTTCCCGTCTCATCTTCAAGGGCAGAGATTTTTGCCTGGTTTTTTTTTTTTTTATTGTTTGTGTTCCCAGCTTTCAAGACAGTGCCTGCACCCATTCTGTCCTCCCTGGCTGGGGGGGGTGATAGAGGAAGACCCGGGGAAGATAGGTCTTCTCAGACTTTCACAGGCTGTGTAGCCTGGTCCCATGCTGGTATCTTGGGGTCCCTATGGAGCTGGAGCGGGGGTGTTGCTTATGTTGAGGAAGCCCCTTCCTTTGGCCAGGGGTCCCCAGGCAGCAAGTCCTAAATGGCCAAAGTAAACTCAGCCTCTCTGGTGTCTGCACTGCTTCATCTGTCCCTGGGGCAGGGGGCTGAGGGTGGGAGCTGGGAAAGGGTGTGTGGGTCACTCAGGGGCGGGGGCTGTCGATGGAAGAAATGCCCAAAAATGATCCCTGGGAGGGTGAGGCTGGTTTCCCCACGTCTTTGCTCTGGAATCAACTTGATGTAGCACTTGGGGGCTTGGGGCAGTGTGGGGAAGCTGGGGCAAGGTGGTGATTCTCTGTGCATCCAGCACAGAACCCAACAGTCCAGGTGAAGTGGAGTTAGGACCCTGCGTTTCTTTCCTGACCATGCTCCCCCGTCATCAGCTGTGACTGGCTCTAGCCCCAGCTCCCAACCACTACCTCATCCTTTTGGATACAGCGATTGTCTCAGGAGTGGGCATGTAGCCCACTTAGAGCCAATGAGAGGCAGGGAGACTTGGTGGGGATTCTGGGGAGGCATATCTTCCTTCCATTGGGGCAACCGGAAGAGACCCCCAATCTGGCCCTAGGTGGTGTGGTTTGAGGATGGGAGAAACTGCAGTAGCAGTTTTGTGGACCACCGGGCTGGGACTGGGGCTTTAGCTGCTGTGTGGAGCCATCATATAAAGCCTAGGCAGCCTGTGATGGCAGAAGGAAGACTTGGTGATATCATGTGAGCACCTGGATCAAACCTCACCTGAAGCTGTCAGGCTCCCAGTTATGTGAGCCCATATTTACTGTGACAAGGAATATAATGATATGTGACATTATGTAACCCTTACTACCTGCCAGACCCTTATTCTAACCACTTGTCATGTATCAACTTATTTAATTCTCCTTCTGTGATAGGTATTATTATTATCCCCTTTGCACAGCTGAGGAAACTGAGACACAGAAAGGTGAAGCAATTTGTCAATGGTCACACTGCTGGGGTGGGCAGACCCAGGATGCCTAGACCCCTCATCCCGTGTAAGATTCTGCCTCCTGCTTCTGTTGTTTACACCCCAAAGAGCCCTACTTCCTCGTGGCGCCAGATGTTGCACAACAGAAGGGAGGAAATTAGAGTCACGCCTCCTTTGCCTAGGGCCTTTCGTGGTTCCCTAAGGCCCTTCATGATGCAGCCCCTGCTGTCATCTCCCACCTTATCTCCCACTACCGTCCCCACCTCACTCGGCTCCAGCCCCACGGACCTCCTCTCTATTCCTCCAACTCATCAAACTTATTTCTGCCTCAGCGTCTTTGCCACTGTCATCCCCTTTTCCTAAAATGCCCTTCCTCTACTCCTCCTGGTTAACCTTCCATGTTCCCAGGGAAGTGGTCCTTGATCACCCTCCTATTGACCCTAGTCCACTCTGATACGTCAAGCACACACATCCTACAGGGAGTCGGCCTGGGTTCAAATCCAGTTCCATTACTTCCTTGCTGTGTGATCTTGGGCCGTGACCTTGACCCCTGTGCCTTAGTCTCCTCATCTGTAAAATGGGGTAATAATAGTGCCTGCTTCACAGGTTTGGGGAAGGATTAAAAGAGGTTATGATGTGTAAAGCGATTAGAACAGTGCTGGACACTTAGTAGTCACTCAGATAATAATAATAACTTTCTTTGACCATTTGATTTTATTATGCTTATTAAAACAACAAAGTATTGCAAATCATGAGTTACAATATTTTTTTTGTTGGCAAGTGTAAATATTAGCTCATCCATGAACTATAGTGCTGAATTTGAATAATATATATTTTAAAACTTTTTTATACTTATTTAATTTTATTTTTTCAGCTTTATTGAGGTATAA